GTTTCAGTCACTAAGAAACAAGTTCTAGAGAAAGATTTCTGAAAGAATCTACTGAAAGGTGAATACAGTTTTCTAGTAATGAATAACATTGTTATTTAGATGGATCCTTTAAATTTTAACAGAACGAATTGACATGAAATTTAAATCATAGTATTTTTCAGGACGATAACACTGGACAACTAAAAATTTGCTGCTGGAGAAAACTCAAGTGATTCTGGGTAATTTAATGGTTTTGATTTCAAAAATGTTGTCAGAATTTGTCCATAACCTCTAGATTTTGAGTCATTGTAATATCTCAATATTTTATTAGCACTATATGAAATACCATGTAATCAACTCAGTACAATAGATTTATGCTGTGAAATTAAGTTTACTTGGACAGTTTAATGGATAAAAAGCATACATTTTTGAAAACTTCAAATATTGACCGAATTGTATTGCATCAAACCCGCGATATAATCAAATTCTGCAAACATTTTTTTAAGATATATATTTTCAACTCTAGTTCTGTATACCTAAATTCTTTCATATTTTTTAGAAAATCATTTGAAATGCTGGCTGTCTCCAGTTTAAGTAAAGTCCAAAAATCACCTAAACATTTTCTGCTACATTTGTCGCAAATATATTAGTTTCATGAAGAAAAAACATCGCACAATAGCTGAAGGTAACTTACTACCACTATTTTGGGTGTAAATTGGGAACCAAAAAAATCATTGGGTTTCACATGCATCTTGTATAATTTACATATCTGACTGAATAAGAGGATAATAAGTATGTCATTTGTAGTTCCCATGATATGGAATGAGCCTAAAATCATCTAACTGACTGTTATTTTGCGTAACTAATATTTATAGTTATTCTGGCAAAACATAGCAATGTATAAAATATCCAGATATTGCATCTGCAATGAAACCAGTACCCCATGAGGATGGTCCACCAGCGAATTGGGAAACGGAAAGTTATCCTGCAAAGAAGATAATGAATCATCTTCATCTAGTAATTCTATTCCTGTGATACCTCAACATAAACTGTCTTATCTGATCACACAATAAGTGTTAAATGATCTGATTCGTAACTTGTCTCTATCAAAGCAGCATGACGAACTTCTTGGCTCTAGTTTACAGCAATGGAATTTATTAGTTCCAGGAGCAAGAGTTTCAATTTACCAAAGTCGCCATAAAGACTTGCTTCTCACTACAGCGTGCAAGCTACTTTGTGTTTCTGTACAAATGTTGAAGCACTAATGGAAGAATTAAGTACCAAACATCGTCCTCAAAATGGAGACTTTTTATCGACTCATCTAAAGTTAGTCTAAAAGTTGTACTTTCGAACAATAGGAACATTAAGCTATTGATTCCTGTTGCTCATGCTGTGAACATGAAAGAAAGTTATCAAAGCATGCAGATTATACATTCTTAAATACAATTTTCAATGAGTAAATAAAGTTATTTAAAAACTTTATTTTCATGATATATAAGAATATTTTAAATAAATCCATCATAGCTCGAAAACTAGAGGGTGATCAGTAATTTTCAACACGATTTTTAGAACCAGCATTGTTAAATTACTTAGAAATAGTTGCATTGTTTCTGGTAGAACAGAGAAATATTTTTTTGTTGCCCAATCTAATTTTAAAAGTATGTAAGGTAAATTATTGCTATAGTATTTGCCTCATTCAAATAATTGATAATATATTTGATAAAAACTGACAAATCTGTTACAATAGTTGTCTGGTTGAAATAAAAGTAAAGAAACACTGCTCTTGGTAACATCGTCCTACTACAGTAACGACACCTATAGTAAGACTTTGTAATAACAACATCGTCTATCCATAGAAGCATTGTCAGCCATTGTAAAAAGTACATAGGTGAAAACTATAAAGTAACATGTGTGAAATGAAATATTTGCCAAGAACTGTTTTACACAATAAAAATCATAGTTATATGGGTAAAGTATAGTTAATACATAAGGTCAAACAAATTAAACTGTAAGCTTGTACGTTAAATTACTGAATGGTATTTAAATAAACATCCTTTTCAGAACGACAATTGTAAATATTATGTTACGCAAATCAATTATAGAAACGAAAACTATACAACAATACGTTATGTATGTACTAATTCTTAGTTGTCTCGTTCAACATTCATAAAAACGAAACTTTAGGTATGGTAACTTTATATATATATAAAAATAAAAATACAAGTTGTGACATGTTGAAATCTGAGTGTAATCCTACGGAAATATAATAACACTATCTAAAGGGTTTTCAGTACATTTTACTTCATTAGGCCTGTGAGTCGCAGTTTCTCTTTTCAATTTCACCTTTGGTGAAAAAGAAAAGAAATATTTAACATATTCATTCATTAAACAGTTGGTCTGCTGTAAAATATTGAATAATGAAATGGACGAAATGTCATAACATTATTCACATACCTAAATCTCACCTCTGGTGAAAATGAAACTTTAAAACACACACGCACACGTGTATATATATATAGCAGCACTCTCCGTCTTTGTAAAATACACACATACAGTACACCTAGTAAGACCATACACCCATAAAACCTTTGTAAAATACACACATACAGTACACCTAGTAAGACCATACACCCATAAAACCTTTGTAAAATACACACATACAGTACACCTAGTAAGACCATACACCCATAAAATCCTTTGTAAAATATATGTAAGTGAATACTATAAAGTAACGTGAATAGAAATATCTTGCCAAGAACCGTTATATCTAATACATAAAGCCAAACTAGTGAAACAGTAAGATTGTATGTTAGATTACTGCATGATATTTAGATATTTATCTTATCACTAAAAATCCGTCCTTTTCACACATATGTAAAACGTATGTTAAGCAAATAAGGTAAAATAATATTGATTAACTGATGATACGATGTACTATGGTATCATCATCCCTAGTAGCTTCATTCACTTATAGTGACACTATCATCAGTAATACCTTGTAATAATAACACTGTCGGCCCATAGATTCATTGTCAGCCTTTGTGAAACATGTGTAAGTGAAAACTATAAAGTAACTGTCCACATGTGTAAAATGAAATATTTTGTCACGAACTGTTTTATTGTTATGATAAACCAATATGAAATACAAATAATAGTCTTGCATGTAATTAAATATAGACGCGCATCACATATTGAGACACCCTACAATGAGCTTATTAACCTATTGAACTATCAGCCTATACAAACAACTGTCCCCTTTGTGAAACCTATGTAACAGAAGCTATAAAGTTGACAAGATGAAAATAGCAGATGGTTTTACTTATAAGGCGAAACTGTAAACATATTCTTATTAATTTTAAGACTTTCATTGTAACTATGAAGTTGATGACACTCTCACTCTGGTGGTTCGCTCGCGAACCTAACTGCTCGCTCATTATACCAAGGCGCCCCCTGGTGCCTCTAGCAATGCACTCTCTAGACAACTTCCATTGTCATGGCGGCCTAGCAACGTGTCCTCTGGTTCCATTTCGTGGAACAATGACATCATCTTATCAACCCCTCCCCTATTGCGTGAGGTCGACAGACATGTCGTTTTCTGGTGGCATGCCACTCAACACTCCCAATAACTACTCACGACGTTACCAGAACTTGCAATTTTCTTTCATGAAAGAACCCGTATCTCTATACAGTATAATTTTTTTTATGGGTGAATAGTGGGAGGAGCTTACATTTTTATCTCATGTTAATGACGTGAATTCATTATCAATCACTTGACATCAAAAATAAGGAGGTACATGTAATATATATGGGCTCTATAAATTAAATCTAAAAATAAAAGGTATATTTTGATATGATACTGAAGCGAAATATTTTATGTCAAAATATGTTTCTAAGTACCATTGTTCAATACCACTTTGTGGTAACGGTTATTACATACAAAACACCATATTACGCTTAGCCACCCTCAAGGAGATGCATACCAGACGTGGGTGGGTGAGGGTTAACAACCAGTCAGCTGCAACAGCTGCTTATTATGTGGCTACTCTTAACTGAATCATGAGACTAATAGTCACAGTTTAAAGTATGTAGTGTGTTCAGTGGCATATCATGCCTCGAACCTTCAATCCTCTGCCCTGCAGCCTGACATTGCCAGTTGTGTAAAAATAAATCATGAATTTGAAACCATTACAAGTTATAAGACAATTAATTAGTTAAAACTCTATAATTATTGTAGTTTATTCAGTCGATGGGATTCATTAGCATTCTATATCATAGTGAGCTCAAAAATATTCTAAAAAACACACTCGACCAGTTCCCACATACATGTAATAGCACAAACTAGTTACTGTTTCTTGTCAAATCTCATACGTTCGAGACATTGTTTATCCAATCACTTAGTGAAACCTCAGAAGAACTGTTCTTCATTCAGGTTATTTACAGATACAATCACTAGAAACTGTTACATACATCTGTTGACCAGAAACCTATAGCTAGTATATTTGTCAATCTGCTCATCAATAAATTATATTTTGTTCTTATCCTAAATGTTTTACAAACAGGTTTTTAAAGTATTTAACAATACAGCATATCCAAGTTATGATCGTGTTTCTGCACCTAAGAACTTGTTATAATATTCAACATCTGTTTCAATATTTATTTAATACAAAAATGTTAGCAATTTAACTCCCAATATGTTATCACCATATAACAATACTCTACAAATAATCATTAGATGCACACACTTTTCCTGAATAGCCGAAAACACTAAAACCCAAATGGACTAATAATCTTATGAGAAGTAAAAACTGAAAATGCATCATAAAAAAATACCACAGAAAAATGTTTTACTTTGAATTTTAGAGATTTTAAAAGTGTGAAATAGGGAATCAATAGTAATTTTACAAGGCTTATTTTTTTCTTTTGATATTTTTCAGACTTAACCAATTCAACTTCTAAATGAATATATAGAAGGCATTCAGTAAACGTATTTAAGTGCTAAATAAAAGATTGGTTACTGAAAGTTTTAAACAAAAGACAGTTTTTATTTCCAGATTAAATGAGCCACAAAGGTATTTACATTAACCTTTACATGGAAAACAGTTCATTTCAATTGTTAAGACTAAGAATAACGGATGTTTCATTTTGTCAACCATGTTGTTCAGGCAGATACCAAAACAGATAAAAATTATTTCATATATACATCACTCAGACAGCTAAATTTTAGTTTTAGTTGAAATCCATAAATTATGTAAGTGGGTATTAATTCTAAATGAACTATTTCTGAATATCATATATATGCAGAGAAAAATTTAGGCTTAGCTTCCAATGCCTTTATGAAGTCAAGTATATAAAACTAGAAAATTTGTCACTAGATGCAATGTTGAATTTGATGTGACTATATAGGGAATAAGCTCTTTTTGCGAATTTCTCTAAGTAACCTATTTTAAACTATACTCTTCATAATTATAATTTAATGTGACTTTCATAGTATGAAAGTATTGTCACTTCAGTATGCAAAATAATTCTGTGATCAGTTTTACACAGTTGGATCCTATTGGCAGAAGAACATTTTTGGAAACAAAAAAATGGTAGTGGTGACAATTTGATTTATCCAATATAATACAGAATCACTAAGGTGATAATTTAACCATGATAATTTCAGATTTTTTTAAGCATATCAATAGAATTTGAAACTCTGAAGTTCTTTTTTCTTTCCTATTAAAAACGACTGATCCATAAAGAAGCAATTTAATTCATGAATGTGAGTAGCTTTTAGTCTTCTGTCATCAAACTCTATCACTGGATGAAGTGATCACTTTCCACCACAAAGGCAAATCACTTAGGTTTTATTATTGTAGTCCTAGAAAAAGAAAAGAAGGGAAATTAGTTGACAAAATACGTATTATCAGCGTTGTATTAAATGATAACAAAGTTTCTAGACTTATCAACATGCTATAAATAAGCTCACTCAACAAAGTTTTTAGGCTTTACCAACAAATTCATTCAACAGTCTTAGGCTTAACATCATGTTACCAACTAGTTCATTCAAGAGTCTTAGGCTTAACATCATGTTATCAACATGTTAGTTCCACGTAGATTCAGACTTAAATTAGATTATCAACAAATTCATTCAACAAAGTTAAAGAAAAACACTAACCAATCATTCCAGAATTACAAAATTTTGCCCAATACATTTTAGACACCAACACAATAAGAACCAGTAGCTACAAACAAATAGAAATGTTTCAAGTATCAGCTACAGTTTCTTCAGTAAAACTTTATATTTTATCTGTTATTTTCTCTATCCAGATCTTCCTACTCATAAAGTTTGTTCTCAATAGTATTCTCCAACAACTGGTCAGTTTTCCACAGCGAAAGGAAATCTGTCAGTAACACACAGCTACTATCCTTCCAAATTGGCACAGAGTACAGAGAATGTGGTTCGTGCCAAGCTTACATGGCTTGAAGCAAAACCACAACTTAATGTATTCCTGAAACTGTCTTCGTCACCTTCTTTGCGTCGTGGTTGCTTCTTTCACCTGAGAAAAATCACATGCGGACAGCCATTGAGAACTTATACTTCACTTGCAATGGCCAGTAGCTTGCTTCCTGTGGAAAATACATGCATGCACAACAGAGCGACAGGGCTTACAGGCATATGTGCATGGAAGACTTCAAGGGAATCTGAGACTTCAAATAAATCTAGCACCATAGGACCCTACAGTTACCTTGGCTATTTCAAAATGACCTTAGCAGCGTAGCCAGAGAGCATTTTACGTAGCAGCTAAATCTTAGCAGTAGGCAGGTCTGTCTACCCTAACGTTATACAAAGTTGGTCATACCAACAAGCTGATGTAAGTCTGTCTACTCAACTAATAACATGAGGTTAGTTATAAAGTTCAGTACAAAATGACCAACATGTTTGTTGTTATACTCTGTATTTCAATACTGGTACATAAAAACATAATACAGTAGAGTGAATACCCCCACCACGCAGCATTAATCACATTCGGCCCTCAAAAACTATGAAAATGTGTCCATATGTCCGTCATTATCAATGGACACGGACCATCTTGGCAGAACAACAAGGAACAGTATTCTATATATGTCCACCAAATTTTATCAGAATCCAATAATTTTTTTGACTGAGTTAGAGAGCAAAAATATGGTGAAAAATCAGCCTCCATGTTAAAAGATGGGGATTTTTTTTTTCCATTTTCGTGACCTTACTGTGACCTTGACTCTCTAATTTTAATCACTTCCACATTGGGTTGTATTCCAAATGTACACCAACTTTGGTCCAAATAAATTCAGTTGTTTTTGCGAAATCCTGTTAACAAAAAAACACACACACACAGGGGTGAAAACATAACCTCCATCACCTTCGGTGGCAGAGGTAACAACACACTAACCAACAATATTCAGTGACTATCTTTAGCCTTGAGTGATGTAAACTCTTGTAGGAGACCAACGGTGTTAAGTAGTAGTGAGAAAAAGCCTCAAACTTTAATGTACTCACTGTGTTAGTGACAAAGCTTTGTTTCCACCACTAAGGATGAGATATGGAGACTGGAGTTCTTTCTGCTTTTCCTGCATCAAGTTTACGGTGTTCAAAGGAGTGTCAGTTGAACTCATTTGCCGCAGTTTCTAGACATTAAAAACAAACCTCAAGATCTTGCATAAAATTTGGAAATTCCTTTCAAATATACTCAAACTGATTAATTCCATATATAACATAAAAGCTGGATATTTGACTACAGACTGAGCTGGAAAGTTTATAATCAAAGCTACGATCATTTTCAGACTGCTGGTAAAAGAAATTTCAAAGTAAAAAAAAAAAAAAGAATATTTTAGAACTTGTGTGATTTCAAGAATTATTTTATTTTATTACACTATGAAGAAACAGTTATAAAATATTTTACCTTCTTGCTTTTGAATAAATACAATTTGGATTTATTTCACTTGTTAGTATACTCTTAAAATATTTCAAAGTAAAGGTACAAATCAGACACATCATCAAATAAGAAACGGATACATTATCATAAAAGCGGAACCTACTGCTTCCTGTTCCAGTTTTTTTGCTCGTTTATCCACTTTATTTTTTCCTGGACCCTTGCCATGAAACTTGTGACTGAGGTAGCGGAAAGCTTCTTTAGCATCAAGCAGCCTGCCACTGTCATCTATGTATTCCAGCTTTATATCAGGTTTGTAACCGTCTTTATCTTTGAAGTCTGACAGTGGACCTACGTATCGATCTCTACGAGATGCTTTGTCATCATCACTGAAAGAAGTCAAAAGAACTGAACATGCCTTCATGTCACTTTGAATTTATCTCAAAGATTAGCCACAAGTAATAAAATTATAATAATAAATAGAAAAATGTTGAAATCAAATTTAAAACCATAACCAGATTTTTCATAAACCTATCCAAACAGTTGCTATTATTTTTTCTTTTAATAAAAAGATTAGATAAAACAGAAGAGAGATAATTGCCAGCATAAAAATTAAACATGATTTTAAAGCATTGGACTGGTACTTTTAAAACATTTTTCTTCATTCCATTTATAGACTTTGTTATAACTACAACCATCCAATCTAACTTTTCTACAAGCACTTTATTTTCTCAGCTAAGCTACACTTCACAGTAAAATGGCTGCTTTGGTACTAAAAAGGAAGTAAACAGAATATTTAATTGGTTAAACAATTTATAAACCTATAAACTTTCATGCAATTATTGCTGTTTCACAGTTTTCAGTCTTGGATGGACACAGATTTTATCATGTGGTGAAGAAAAGGGAAGATTACACACACACACACACAAACATATTACTTAAAGATATTCATACAACTCTGAATGTACATTTTCTCTAAAAATTCATTTTGGCTGGGAAGATGAAGCTTTGATAAGTTGAAAGAAATACTTACTAAAACTTTTCTTCAATGGTATAGCTCTGAGCTTGAAGATCACTGTGTCTTTGGGCACTAACTGGTTTTTTAACTTCATTCTCCAAGTATCCTATTACAGAGAGACAATTAATTTTCTAAATGAATAAGAAAGTTTTTTCAGTGACTGCAAGTATGATATTTTATATGCACATTAAAATAAATTGGGTAACATAACTAAACTGAAAATTAACAAAAGCATATCTTTATCACTATTAACCTTTTGATATTAAGATATCTGTATCAAGAGAATATTTCAATGAAATATGGATAAACATATGATAAACAGTTTCAAGATTGAAAAAAAAAGAGAGCTCATAAGTAATATAAAACGAAGTCAGTACCAAAAACACAGCTTTTACCAATCTAAAAGTTAAAACTGAATTATTCTATTCAAAGCTCAAATCTAACATAATTCTGAAAAAAAATCCATTTAATTGTATAGAACCTTAACCTTAAGGAATGTAGAAAAAATAGGTTTAACTGATAGTATACTATAAAAGAAATGTTCAAAATAAATGGTTCTGTAAGAAATATTAACACATCAACATTTACAGATGTGAGAATAAAACATTACCTTTCTTCATTGCTAACTGAAGGGCCGCAGCCATTCCTGTACCAACATCTGGCTCTTCTTCTAAGATAGGAATGCTCTCCTGGTCCTAGGCAGAAAAACAATTCACAGTTCATTAAGTGTTTCAACAGCTGGTAGTTTATTACAGGTACAAGAAAGGTTACGTGTTTAGATATCGTGTTCCTATCTATTCAGATGTAACTATCCAGTATCTCATGTATTTTTACAAGGGCAAATTTCACATTACACTTTCCTAAATTTTGTGTGATCTCTCCTCTCAAGTCACCTAAAGCTATAACTGAAATGTTAAAATTTTGACCCTTCCCTCCAGTTGTAATTTTTTTTGGGGGGAAGGGTCAATTATTTGTTTGTTTTGTTGAAATTTCATGCAAATCTACCCAAAGACTATATGCAATAGCCATCCTTAATTTAGAAGTAGCAGACTATAACTTAAAGGGAAGGCAGGCCAAAAAATATTTGAATTTTCTAGTGTGGATAAAGTTTGTGAACATATAAAACAAAGCTACATATGTAGTCTTTATACAAGACTGCAACTTATCTTTAGTTCAGATAGTTAGAAAACTATGAATTTTTTAGGCTGATGGTGTCAAAAACTGTAAAATTCAATAGATCATATTGTTTGTTTTGTAACTTTCAAGTTTCTAAAGCTAATAAATTCACAAATGAAGTGTTTTAAATCTTGAGATTATTTTCTATTTTTGCAGTCTGTTTACCAAAAATCTCTTCCATTCTTCCTTACCCAGACCAAAGATTACTAAACTTTTATCTATTATGTCACGTCTTTAAATAATCTAACTATTTCGTGATTTTATATTACTTGTATACAATGAATTTTATTGGTTCCTGTTCTTGTTTATTTCATTGTTTCTTTGATGTTTTTTTTTTGCTTTAAAAAACATCCACTTGTAATTTTACACTACCGTCATATGGAGTTTAAATACTGGGGAAGGGGGAGTGGTTAACAAATAAGGTACATTAAGATTAAATACTTTGTATCTATATTACTTTTATATATATGTTATTGCAACAATTCCTTCAACAGTGGGCTAGTATGAGAAGTAATTAGCCTACCTGTGACTGTATAATTGTTAATAGGTGCATACGAAATCTGGAAATGGTGGTGTTACAGAGTATATAGCTAGGTCATGTAGTGGATTCTATTTCATTATAATTTGTGCATTTACCAAATAATCCTAACTTAGATTCAATAAACCATTCAACAGTTATCGTGGTTTGTGTTAGAAGTAACTAAGTTTTAGATACAGTAAAGTTAATGAGCCATTAATTACACAGGCCTGCGATGGTTTTATTGTCTTGAAATGTTTTTATGTTCTACAGTAATCCCTGTAATGCTGAATCCAAAAATGGTGTCCATACAGATTTTTAACAAAAACGTCATCACGCAATACATAAAAGAAAGACCACAACATGTAGTTTTGAGAGTAAAAGATGTAGTTTTCACAAACAAAATCAGAAAAAATGAGGATGCATGTTCATTTTACATCAGTGTTCTTCCCTTTTCTTCAGTCTGTTAACAAACAATAATAAAAAATGTTTATTGTGGTAAACGAAATAATAATTTGATCTAAGTAAGAGTTTGTTTTTCTCTTCCCAATTTGTAAAAAATCCTTATGTGATAGAAAAAAAATTATTATTATTTTCGAAATCTGCATAGCTGAATTATGGAAAATCTGTTATTAAAACCAAAACAACTTTTATGAAGTTTAAATTTGTAGGCCTGTGTTATTATGAATACAGAAGTTGTCACTATAATGCTAGTAGACAGGAATGGATAATAGATATTAAAAATGCTAAATTATTTTCAACCTTTGGTGTAAGCTGCTACATTTATAAATATCAAACACAAGTATAAGTACAACAAGGTAGTAGTTGAAATCAAGCACAGATAGAAAATAAGGAAAAAAGTTCTAAACAGCTGTACTATCACAGAAACTACTTACAAACTATTTATGATGTCATGCTGAACAGCATCAACACAGTTTAATGGCTTATTCATTTACAGAAATTTAATAGTAATTATAGTACAATCTTTAGTGTAATAAAACTAAGATAAACTACATCATCCAAAACCAAAATCTGGGCTGAAATGTAAGTAAGGACTTGGGCTTAAATATCTTTAAAAAGATTCTTATTCAAGCAACTATAATAATCACACATGTATTATGATCTGATTAAGATGTTTGGAAGGGATAGATTATATAAAGCTCAATAGTAATCATCTTTTATCCCACTGTGCAGGACCCTCACAGTGGCTTAATGCTTTTTTTTTCACGACTAAAGAAATATTTACTCACATTAATCTCCACAGGTTTGTCATCAATATCAACTTCATTCCAAGCTCCTCGGTTTTGAGCTTCTAATTCTTTTAACTGCTGCTCCTCCATCAATTCCCGTTCAAAATCCTTGGACACAAGGAAAACATATCATCAAATGTTAATAAAGGACAACAGTTAAAATTAATACAAAATAATGTTAACCATCAAATGTTAATAAAGGGCAACAGTTAAAATTAACACAAAATCATGTTAACCATCAAATGTTAATATAGGACAACAGTTAAAATTAATAAAAAATAATGTTAACCATCAAATGTTAATAAAGGACAGCAGTTAAAATTAATACAAAATAATGTTAACCATCAAATGTTAATAAAGGACAACAGTTAAAATTAACACAAAATCATGTTAACCATCAAATGTTAATATAGGACAACAGTTAAAATTAATAAAAAATAATGTTAACCATCAAATGTTAATAAAGGGCAACAGTTAAAATTAATACAAAATCATGTTAACCATCAAATGTTAATAAAGGACAATAGTTAAAATTAATACAAAATCATGTTAACCATCAAATGTTAATAAAGGACAACAGTTAAAATTAATACAAAATCATGTTAACCATCAAATGTTAATAAAGGACAACAGTTAAAATTAATACAAAATCATGTTAACCATCAAATGTTAATATAGGACAACAGTTAAAATTAATACAAAATCAATTTTTGAAAAACTACTTAATACATCACATTTAACCCTACGTATATTGGTGGAAGTACCACAAAATGTGCCACTGAACATGGTATTGTGCATCTGATGTCCAAGTTAACTTTTCATCCTACCCTACACTGCTGATTTCACAACAGTTAGTGTTAGAGAAAATAACAGATACAATATATAAGGATACCGAAAACTTCAGACACACATTTCAGAAGATTTACACGTTGTGCAAGTGTAATATGCAAACTGTATGATTGACAAAACTATATTCTTTACTTTGCACTCCAACTTGTTCGAGTCAGACTGACTTTGTATATTCACAAACATATTTTTTATAACAATACTTTACTAATACATCTGAATATTTGTATACACCAGACTTGTACTGTTTACTAATAGCTTGCCACATTTTGTGAAAATACATTTAGTAAATTCATAATTATAGTCAATATTACTTCTCCAGTATGGGGTTGGTCCACTGGACTGACTCCATGCTCATTGATTACTTGTTTGTTTTGAATTTTGCGCAAAGCCACACGAGGGCTATCTGCGCTAGCCATCTCTAATTTAGCAGTGTAAGACTAGAGGGAAGGCAGCTTGTCATCACCAGCCACTGCCAACTCTTGGGCTACTCTTTTACCAACGAATAGTGGTATTGACCATCACATTATAATGACCCCACGGCTGAAAGAGCGAGCATGTTTAATGGGACGGGGATTCAAACCCACGACCCACAGATTGCAAATCGAGCTCCCTAACCACCTGGCCATGCTGGGCCCAAGGCGCATTGAGCTAAACAGATTAGATACAAGTATGTTATAATCTACATAGTATTTTTAAAGGTTAAAATTACTTTATGTGTGGTATTCATTGTTTTGAGTATGTCACAAATTAAAATAAAACATATTCATATAAATCAAATAAACATTAAATCTACAGAAGTGTCACACCAGTTCATGTGTTTCACTATGTTAGCATGACATATAAAGATTAACCTAAAACATTAAAACTGTTTTGAGGATACCAGACAAAACTCTGAATCAATGTACATTTTACTGTTCATGTTTAAAACACAACTACACGATAAAAAAATTAGCATAAACAACTTCAGAATAAATTCTACATTAAAAACTAATACCAAACACAATATAATCAATATGAACAGTCAAAATACATTAAAATGTTATATTAGTAGGTTATAGCATTTACAGACACATTCCAAAACAATTTTTCCTATTTACCCTAGATTGATCTTGTTTCAGTGAAGTTATTCATAGTAATGTTTACTATAATTCTGGATTTACTAAGTGTATCTCCACAAACTTTGGCAAGCTTTCAGTAAACATTAGAAGTCTGTTGCATACAAAAAATCAGAATGAAGTATTTCTATGAAAGATGTTTCTGAATTTGATGAACAAGTATGATTCAAACTCTGACTAGTGTGAGTGCAAGGTGATTTTCATGTTACAAAGAACTTTTTTTTTACCTTACCAGTTTCATATTTTATTTGCATGACCTCTAGAACCTCTTAAATAAAGTTCATTTAGTAAAATTTTATACCTTATCTATTACTTTCTCTACCCTAACACTAACTGTGGCAAAATAATCAAAGTTCAGTAAAATGAAAAGTTGAAAAATAAGAAATAAAATGAACCCACTTTTTTTTCCTCCCTTGAATGCATCATTCTGTTTGATTGTAGGTCTTCTACCTTCATGGTTTCAATTGTTAACCTTTTTACATCTGTTTTCTTTACTTTTATGGTTTTATTGCTGCACTCTGTACTCACTTCAGGAGTTATCCTCCTGTCAGAAGCAATAACTTACAGTGATAGCTCATCTGCCACATCCAAATCATCAAAAGCAAAGCAGCACATTACCTTGCTATTTTTGCAAAAACAAGCCATAAAAGTGCTAGACCTGACTTTTTTTTTTATCACTAAGTTAGTTAAAATAAAAATGCATAAAGCTTTCAAATATGCAACTTACAACATAAATATTGTATGAGGCACTAAAGTTGAATGTACCAAAACTGGCTTTCACGCTAAGCTATAAAGATGTTAAATTCCATTAGCTGCTTGGAGCTCAACAATAGCAACTACACACAAACTATCTGATGTGAACTGGCTACATCCGCTGTCAAAAAAGAAATAACCACAATAAGAATCTAACAGATGGAAAATGCTCTTTCTATTGGTTATAAGCATGTCAATAAGAAGTGATCCTTGGTTTAAATAAGTTCATTCAAAACTATGATAAAAAGGTAGGAGTTTCTCTGGTGAGTGTAACAACTATATTTATATCTCAGCAAATTGAGAAGGTTCAAATTCTATAGTCTGGCCTGTCAATATTTACATATTATGCTTTTAGTTGATTATAAACACTGAAAGAATTCAAAGAATGATGTATCATGTAACACAGAGAAATGAAGACTGAGAATTTATTTAAATATTTTCTTTTGAAATTAAAAACTTGGGTAATATAAAACTTTGTACCATAAATTAGGTTTTGGTGCAAAGTTTATTAACATACATTTATATTAAAGTTGTTTAATTAAATCTTTAATGTATCTCTGTAAAAGGTTCTGATAGGCACACTTTGACACAGTCTGAATGCACAGGGTTGACAATAATATTAAACTTTGTCCACTCAACACTAAAAAAAGCCTAACCATAATTTCATCAGCTTCGTCCTCTCGGTTTCCCGACATCCCATAAGTTGGAATGTCTCCAAGGTTCCGACAAAACTCAGCTGTGGAGTTTAAGACAATATTTCCAATCTTCTCCGAAGATTCCTCCTGTTTAGGTTCTTTTTTAAGGACAACCTCAGCTATCTGAAAATACGGATGAAATTAGTTACCAGTATAACACTTTAAAAGTTTCCATACAAAAAATAAAACACAACAGACAGAGGAATATAAATCAGAGAATATTGCATGAAAATTGCCTTTATCGTTGTTGATAATAAATTATAAAAATGAAAGAATATAAGAAGATTCTTTTCTTTAATTATATCTTTATTATATAGTAACCATTGATTTTTTTATACAATACAAAAAAAAAATATCTATGAAAAACTTTACATTCAAAGAATGATGCATCATGTGACACGGAGAAGTGAAGACTGAGAATTTATTTAAATATTTTCTTTTGAAATTAAGAAATTACAAAACTTTGGGAAAAATTTTACCCTTGTATAAAGAAAGTAAAATTTAAAGTCTAAAAATGAGCAAAATGAAATCTGAGAGGTAAAAACAACAGTGAAATTTGAACTGTAAAAAAAAAGCAGAATGAAATCTCAATTTTAAAAATCATAAAAATTGAAATATGAAATCTAAACATTAGCAAAGCGAATTCTTGTCTTAACATACACACACACACATATCCAATATCACTTTGTATTCTTAATATGAAGAGAGAGCTCTAAAAGAAATGGTAGAATTATAATAAATTTATTTATTTGATGACTTCAGCTGTGTACATGAACCTTTAACGGCTTCAAAAGAAAAATTGTTCAAATGCAGTAAATAAACCTACTTTAAGTTCACACCAATGCTGTAAGAATGAAACATTTCCAGCACACATTACCTCATCATTGAGTAAGATTAAAGTTTGAAAGAGAGCACTTTGTAAACAAATCAAGAATGGTATTACACCTGCCTTTTCTATTCCTGTAGCACAGTGTGCCATAAACAAATCAAGAATGGTATTACACCTGCCTTTTTCTATTCCTTGTAGCACAGTGTGCCATAAACAAATCAAGAATGGTATTACACCTGCCTTTTCTATTCCTGTAGCACAGTGTGCCGTAAACAAATCAAGAATGGTATTACACCTGCCTTTTCTATTCCTGTAGCACAGTGTGCCATAAACAAATCAAGAATGGTATTACACCTGCCTTTTCTATTCCTGTAGCACAGTATGCCGTAAACAAATCAAGAATGGTATTACACCTGCCTTTTCTATTCCTGTAGCACAGTATGCTGTAAACAAATCAAGAATGGTATTACACCTGCCTTTTCTATTCCTGTAGCACAGTATGCCGTAAACAAATCTAGAATGGTATTACACCTGCCTTTTCTATTCCTGTAGCACAGTGTGCCGTAAACAAATCTAGAATGGTATTACACCTGCCTTTTCTATTCCTGTAGCACAGTGTGCCGTAAACAAATCAAGAATGGTATTACACCTGCCTTTTCTATTCCTTTAGCACAGTGTGCCGTAAACAAATCAAGAATGGTATTACACCTGCCTTTTCTATTCCTGTATTAAGAGACTCCTTCTGTTTCAGCTTACGAGCTTTGTTCAAGGCAGACTGAAGTTCTAATTCAGCTTGATCTTCTTCAACAAACACTCCAGTCAGGTCTTCTTCTGGGCCAACTATTTCTATTTACAAATTTTCAAAGTTATAAAACATTTTAAGTAAAAGCTCTAGCAGTTGTGGAACAAGTATAGATTTTTTTAAATGCCAGGATTTTGCCCTGAAAAGTCTTTATCTTTTGAAATATTGTTGATTTTATGAAATATACTGATTTGCTGCAGTAAATGTATGACAATCTATAAAAAGAAACAAGTGTTTGAATTTTTAAACTTACCTAAAATAGCTTGAATGATGCTAGAAATTACATATAAATAATCCAAATTTGAACATTTGTCTTCAGGAAAGATTTGTACAAATTAACTTTAATTCAAGATGGTTTCACTTCAATATGAATACATATAAGAAAGCTTGAATCCTTTGTTTTTTTTATAAAACTGTTGTTTACTTACCAAACCCTTCTTTATTGCACTGATTTCATCACAGGTTACTCTTCATTATACAGATTTATTCTCAATAACAGTGTCTTTAGAGCTATCCATATTAAACTTAAGATAACTCCAAAGAAACTTCAAGGTTATTGAGAACAAATTTTTTATACTGAGGAGTAGGCTATGATGCTACAAAACTGGTAAAATAAAGGTTTTGCTAAATAAAAAACACTTTAGTAAAGAAAAGAAAGAAAAAAAGATTTGAGTTTTATACATATATATGTGTGAACTTTTTGATTCTTAATCACAGTATGAGGAATCTTACATTAATTAGTGTTAAAAGTTATTAAAAATTTAAAACTGTTCAAGTATTATCCATATATTTAATGCAAAACCTACTTGTTTATACATTTTATACAACAAGCCAGCATATCTAATTAACTTACCACTATCTTCAACTTCAGCTTCATCAACTTCCATATCTTTTTGTTTGTTGTTGTCCTCTTCTGCTTCTAATACTGGACCTTCCTCTTGATCTACAGGTCTGGATGTTATAAAGTGCACAAAAACTTATCACAGTTAAATCATTTCTTTATCACTATACACACATGTATTGTAATTGTTATTTTACATCCTCTAGGTAGATGTAATTAGCGAAATTTGATAACTGATTAATAGTTGGGCTTATAAATCGATTACATTCAACTAATTGATTGTTCTCAAGTTAAACTTGGATAGTTGGAATAACTGGAAATAGTAATAATCAGAAACACTAGTTTTAAATTGTTGATCATTTTTGTAAGCCATAACACTAATTGATTAAGTTGAATAACCTTTTATTAATCGTAAGTTATAATGAAAAATTATTATGGCAATATTTTAATTACTTGGGTGGTTGAAATATTCAAAAACAGTAATAATCAGAAATATTAATTTTGATTAGTATATTATTTTTGTGTTATTAATCAATGCTTAGAAATAATTTAATAGAGTTAACTGCCCAGCCTTACATATAATATTTCTAGATGATATACAGATAAGAAGTTACTTGATTAACATTTTAACCAATTAAACTTGGTTACATCATATTCTTGTGAAGATTCCTTGTGTTACAATACTTTCTATCAATCATTGAATTTTTTTATTTGACTTTTAAAATGTGCAAACTTGTTATTCAGCTCATTTATACTTCTTTTAAATCAACCAACCATCCTAAAATGTCAGTGTTCTTACTTTGACCCAGGGTGACTAGTTAAATTCTCTTCTGGGAGTGGTAGCAAATCATCTGGCTTTAGAACCCCTCGCTTACGCACCTTTCTCACCTTCTTTTTGGACTTTCTGAACCGCACCTGAGGAATCAGGAAGTTCCTATGAATATAACAAAACACAAAGAAGGAAAGTAACAGACACTAATGGAACTGCTGCATTCTATAATAGAAGACAAATAGAAATACAACAATTCTGATCTATTTTGGTAACAGTTACTCCGACATATTCCATATTTTTAATTTAAAAATTATATATTAAACACTGTGGATACTATGTTCCAAAATAAAAGTTTAATTAATTTTTACTGTTTATTATAACAACAACAATTTGAAGTGTTTCATTTCTTTTTAAATGACTTATATATATTTCTAAGACACTGAATAATATCAAAACAAGTAATACAAATATATAATACAGAGAAAATGTTATACAGCTTAAGTTTCCAGGAGAAATCAGAATGTTTACAAAACTTTCAAGTTAATGAGGTATTTTCATATTTATCTTAAAGAAAGGATGGTACTCATGTTTGTTAACGTTTTTTTAAATCTAGACAATGTATACAAATAAATTAAAACTGTCTGTAAAATTTACAATTCATAATTCAATGAAATAATATTTCCATTATACATCTATTCCATAACTTGGACAAGTAGTTTCCAAATACACTTGATTCCAATTACATGACTAGTTATTTTCTTGTATGCAAATCAATCCTGGAAAAGCTTTCTATATTGGTGTAGAAAAATTTAATTCTTGTTTAAAAACTACTACCAAAGTAAAAGAATAATATTATAAAGAACAATAAAAAACGAAGAATAAGCTTAAAATGCACATAATAACACCTACTCATTCGTGAGAGTAAAATGAAGCAAACTGAGTTTGTTTGACAAAAGCTGGGCATGTATTGGTTTGTGTGAATAAAATGATTCAAACTGGATTTTTCTGCTAGAAGCTGGGCATATATTGGTTTGTGTGAATAAAATGATTCAAACTGGATTTGTCAGCTAGAAGCTGGGCATGTATTGGTTTGTGTGAATAAAATGATTCAAACTAGATTTTTCTGCTAGAAGCTGGGCATGTATTGGTTTGTGTGAATAAAATGATTCAAACTGGATTTTTCTGATAGAAGCTGGGCATGTATTGGTTTGTGTGAATAAAATGATTCAAACTGAATTTTTCTGCTAGAAGCTGGGCATGTATTGGTTTGTGTGAATAAAATGATTCAAACTGAATTTTTCTGCTAGAAGCTGGGCATGTATTGGTTTGTGTGAATAGTGGGGACTTATTGTCTATTTCATG